GCGTCTGACATGTTATGATCATATTGGGGATATGGTGTTTACATGAGCACAGAGAGATCAGGGGGGTATACTACGAAGCAGGATTTTCGCTTAGCCGGCTAACTTCAGGGAAAACTCCGGCTTTCTGGTCCAACGACGCTGGTTCTCTTTTTAGCGGGCTAGATCTCCATGGTAACTTATGCTGTGCGGCTAACCTGCTCCGGAGCGGGTTAGGTTGCAGGCTAAGAGCTCAACTCAGTGAAAGCACTGCCTGCTGACCAATCAGAGCTCAGTGTGCGGAGTTTAAAGCGATCAAGTCATATTACAGGAGAAAGGAAATACAGAAAAGCTGCCGTTGCAGGAAAGACGGCCGGCAAAAATCACCGACTGTGTGAACGTGAACATTAATAGAATATCACCTCCCATCTTCAGAGCAATCTGACTATTATAACATTAGCGTTAAGAAAGCTTACTTAAATATCTGCCACAACATAAGTAACCGGATCAGAGTAACATTAAGTAGGCCTACAGTCCGCGGCATATCACATCATAATGCATCATAATCATAAGTCCTGTGTACAGATCAGTTCGATAAAGTCATGCCTAAACAGCGACATTTTATGGGTATAAATATGGGTTTAAATAGCAGCATTTGCCACGGAAGGCGAGTGGCAGCTACAGTAAACCTTCTCTTACTCTGGCATCTTGTGGCAACTCCCGTTGAGCAGCGGCAGATCATGCCTCGGCAAGTTGTGGCATATGCCGGAAGTACTTGCCACAGATACCACAGAGTAACGGCCTCTGTGGCATATACCGGAAGTACTTGCCACTGCCTGCAGATGCCACGAAATGCGCTTGCTGTCTCTCCCTCGCGACCGACCGCACGGCAAATCACCCGGAGCATACCGCCCATGACATAGACAGTATACTCCGGGTGACATAGACAGTATACTCCGGGTAATCCACCGCACGGCCAGTCGCGAAACCCAACCACATTATAGTTGGCGCACCTAGCGTCAGGGTCGGCGTCATGGGGGGTCATTCGCGGGCCATGCCCCCCCAAATGAGTCACTGTGCCCCCCCAACGCAGGGTGGGCAAGCCTTGCCACTTTGCCGTTTTTTTTTTTAATCATATAAGTTAAAACGTTTCCACTAAAGGTTTTTTGTGTGAAATACATCAGAAATAAAGAATACAAATATAAAACACAGCCTGAGGTGTGCTCTCTGATTGGTGTGTTGCTTGACCAATGACCCCCGACTTTTGTTTTGTTATCATTACGTGGCTGTGTGTTTAGATGAAAGCCCAGTGGCGATCTGTTCATCTGTTACACTGATTATACAGTAAAGCCATCGAAAATAATATGATATACAGTGCAAGTAGCCTACTTCTGGGTCTCTGTGTTTCATTCAAGCTCGGCTCTCTGTGTGTGTGGCACGATCGCATTTTGTGAGTGCGCGAGCGGTAACGTGGAATGTTGTTGTTAGCATCTGGTTAGCTAGCTATGCTAACGGATATAAAGAGCTGTTTCTACACCAAGGTGGAGGAGAGTCCTCTCCTGTCAGACTGAGAGGATTGTATAACCTCAGCTCAGTGAGGTAAGGACTCTCTCAGTGTTTAGATAGTTCACTTTAGTGTAAGTTATCTCAGTGGGTCTCAAACGGTTTGGTCACCATTTATGTAAACAAGTATTTGCGAGGAACACATTTATATGATCATTAGCCTATAGTTATTAAAAAAATAAGAGAATAAATGAAAAACGGGTATGAAATACTATAGGACAGTAACACAAGAATACAGTTTAAAAGGGGAGTGATTAGTAAAATATCCATTTAGAAAAAGTAAATCTGTGTACAGTTCTGTTTCATATGGATGCTGAGAGATGTAGGCTATCCATAGATCTCTTCATTTTGCTCTCAAAGTGCACCAGATTGATGCTTTTAACTTCAATATTTTAAAAATAATCTTCCCGGGGGAGCATGCCCCCAGACCCCCCTAGAGGAGGTTAGGTCCACCCCCACCTAAAACATTTTCACATGGATAGGATACTAAATACATTTGCACACTTTATATATGGTGGCCTATGTATAGGTGCGCTAGAAAATAGCACTACACCCCTGCAATGTGTGTGAAAGACAATAGACTTTACAGCATGTTTTTTTAAATTGAAGTTGGTGTTTGTGTGTTGGTTGTTGACGGCAGTGTGTGCCCCCCCCTTGGTAAATGATTGCCCCCCCATTCGATTTGTTCTAGAGCCGACCCTGCCTAGCGTGTATGCAGGGCCGTTTCTTCCTATATGCGGACTATGCGGTTGCATAGGGCCCCGGCGGCCACTAGGGGGCCCCGACCTGAAAGTTCAGATTCAGCTGCGGCACGTCAGTAGAGTAGCGAGCGTAATGGGATAATCATGGCTTCAAAACGGACATATCCCTCTGGTTCAGAAAAAAGAAAAAAGAAGAAAGCTGAAGAAGAAAAACGCTCACATGATGAGAATAAGGGTAAGGCTAAGGTTCATGGTGTAAATTCACTTGTGGGGTGGAGGGAGTAGCTATAATGTTAGCCAATGTTTGAGCAAGTTTGCTACTTTTGAGCAAGTCATGCTAGCTCCGCTATCTCCGTTAGCTTCAGCTTAATTGATAAGAGCTAGTTGGCTAGGATTGTTTGTATTTTGTAGGCGAATAAACCCACTTTAATAATACAGTGTTTGCTTTACGAAAAGGCTCAAATAAAATTGTCATGCAAAATGGACTGTGCTATGGGAGTGACACCGTGTTGGAGTATAGCAGGCTAAGTCAAAATCACTCCCAGTCTGTTTTTCAAGAGAGGAAAACTCATCTCTTTCGACTCCACTTCGAGCAATACAATTACTAACAAAGCACTTTTATACTAATAAAGGGCTGGCTTATCTAAAGCCAGTTGAGTAGCACTTGAAATGTTTGGCTCTATGAAACCTGATGTACTTATATGATTCTGTTTTCTTCAAGGTTGTATCTTCTTGGTCGAACGCACTTTGTAAGTTGCTTTGGATAAAAGCGTCAGCTAAATGTTATGTAATGGAAAGTTAATAGGATTCAAGAGGTATCTGCACGTTTATTTTTCAAAAAGCTAATAAAGAAATCAATATAATATTTATCTATTGTTGGGGTTAAATTATGGAACAAAGCCAATGTACATTTAAAAATGTACCTTTTTTTTGGTTTTCAAGAAATTGTTTGTATTGCTTTTTTGGGGGATACAAATGTGAATAATGTATTTGTTTTGTTTTCGATTTAACTATAAGAATATAGGATATTCATATATAAGCTTTTTGCCAAAGCCTTTTCAGGCACTAATTACTGTTGTATAAGTTTACATTGTGATATGTTTATAATTAATGTTTGTATGATGACTGTTTAAAAATAAACAACAACAAAGTTTGCTTGCTAATTTAAGGAGTGTTGTCTTTGCAGGGACAATTCTCAAGTAGTTTGTGCAAGCAGAGCCAGATGCTGCAGGTCCATCCTCCTCATCCTCCTCATCACCTCCTGAGCCACAAGCAGGTCCATCCTCCTCATCCTCCTCATCCTCCTCCTCATCACGTCCTGAGCCACATGCAGGTCCATCCTCCTCATCCTCCTCATCACCTCCTGAGCCACAAGCAGGTCCATCCTCCTCATCCTCCTCATCCTCCTCATCACGTCCTGAGCCACATGCAGGTCCATCCTCCTCATCCTCCTCATCACCTCCTGAGCCACAAGCAGGTCCATCCTCCTCATCCTCCTCATCACCTCCTGAGCCACAAGCAGGTCCATCCTCCTCATCCTCCTCATCCTCCTCATCACCTCCTGAGCCACATGCAGGTCCATCCTCCTCATCCTCCTCATCACCTCCTGAGCCACAAGCAGGTCCATCCTCCTCATCCTCCTCATCACCTCCTGAGCCACAAGCAGGTCCATCCTCCTCATCCTCCTCATCCTCCTCATCACCTCCTGAGCCACAAGCAGGTCCATCCTCCTCATCCTCCTCATCACCTCCTGAGCCACATGCAGGTCCATCCTCCTCATCACCTCCTGAGCCACATGCAGGTCCATCCTCCTCATCACCTCCTGAGCCACATGCAGGTCCATCCTCCTCATCACCTCCTGAGCCACATGCAGGTCCATCCTCCTCATCCTCCTCATCACCTCCTGAGCCACAAGCAGGTCCATCCTCCTCATCCTCCTCATCACCTCCTGAGCCACATGCAGGTCCATCCTCCTCATCACCTCCTGAGCCACATGCAGGTCCATCCTCCTCATCACCTCCTGAGCCACATGCAGGTCCATCCTCCTCATCACCTCCTGAGCCACATGCAGGTCCATCCTCCTCATCACCTCCTCATCACCTCCTGAGCCACATGCAGGTCCATCCTCCTCATCCTCCTCATCACCTCCTGAGCCACATGCAGGTCCATCCTCCTCATCACCTCCTCATCACCCTCCTGAGCCACATGCAGGTCCATCCTCCTCATCCTCCTCATCCTCCTCATCACCTCCTGAGCCACATGTAGGTCCATCCTCCTCATCACCTCCTGAGCCACATGTAGGTCCATCCTCCTCATCGCCTCCTGAGCCACATGCAGGTCCATCCTCCTCATCCTCCTCATCACCTCCTGAGCCACAAGCAGGTCCATCCTCCTCATCACCTCCTGAGCCACAAGCAGGTCCATCCTCCTCATCACCTCCTGAGCCACATGTAGGTCCATCCTCCTCATCACCTCCTGAGCCACAAGCAGGTCCATCCTCCTCATCACCTCCTGAGCCACAAGCAGGTCCATCCTCCTCATCACCTCCTGAGCCACATGCAGGTCCATCCTCCTCATCCTCCTCATCCTCCTCATCACCTCCTGAGCCACAAGCAGGTCCATCCTTCTCATCACCTCCTGAGCCACAAGCAGGTCCATCCTTCTCATCACCTCCTGAGCCACATGCAGGTCCATCCTCCTCATCCTCCTCATCCTCCTCATCACCTCCTGAGCCACAAGCAGGTCCATCCTCCTCATCACCTCCTGAGCCACATGCAGGTCCATCCTCCTCATCACCTCCTGAGCCACATGCCACAGGTAAATGTGCTCCTCCTGCAGACTTACAAGCAGAGCAGCCAGCTTTTGGTCCACCAATAGATCCAGCTGATTGGCCATCAGTTCTACCCGATTCCTTTAGGACTGATTTAGTAGGTAGAGGGCCTTTTCAGGTTGATAAACAATTCACTTTTCCAAGAGAAGATGGTAGGAGCTTTCACCATCATTATTTCCACAGAACATTAGTGAATGGGGAAAAGATAAAGCGGACCTGGCTTATCTACTCACGAAAAAACGATTCCCTTTACTGCAAGTTATTTTCAAGGAAGGACTACAAATTAATGACAGAGGGACTATCAAACTGGAACAGCATAGGCATGCTTCTGAAAAGTCACGAAAGTAGTCCAGAGCACACAACCCTCATGGCAACCTGGAAAGATTTTGAACAGCGTCTACAAACCGGAAAGACCATAGACCAAGCTGAAAGGACACTTTTAGAGGCTGAGAAGAGGCGCTGGAGAGATGTCCTAACCCGCCTGATCTCTATAATGCAATCTTTGGCTGAGAGAAATCTTGCATTGAGAGGTTCAGCGAACACATTACACCAGCAACATAATGGAAACTTCTTAAAAGAGGTGGAGCTTCTAGCTAAATGTGATCCTGTCATGAAGCAGCACATTGAGCGTGTGGAGAGTGGCCAGTTCAGTCATTCCAGCTATCTTGGAAATCTGATCCAAAATGAACTGATTGCTTCAATCAGTGGGAAAATGTTGGACACAATGGTGACTGAGATTAAACAGTCCAAATATTATTCAATCATTTTGGATTGTACCCCTGACGTAAGCCACCAAGAGCAGATGTCAGTCATCATAAGGACTGTCATCATAAAGACTGTCATAATGGACGAAGCGCCCACAATCAAGGAACACTTTCTAGGATTTCTTGTGGCTTCCGAAACAACAGGTCTTGGTTTGTCATCTTTGATTTTGAACAGGCTTAAGGAGCTTAATATTCCATTTGATGATTGCAGAGGTCAATCATACGATAATGGTGCCAACATGAAGGGGAGGAACAGAGGGGTTCAAGCAAGGCTGCTCCAGAAAAATCCACGTGCACTTTATGTTCCATGTGTGTCACATTCATTGAACTTGGTGGTGGCTGATGCAGCAAAAGCGTCGACAGATGCCATCAGCTACTTTGGTAATGTACAGAAACTGTACACCCTTTTCTCAGCAGCCCCACAAAGATGGGCAATCCTAAAGGAACATCTGACTATTGCACTTAAGTCTTGGAGTGACACACGGTGGGAGAGCCGTGTCAACAGCATAGAGGCAGTGCGGTACCAGGCCCCTAACATAAGGGAGGCATTGTTGGAGGTCAGGGACAAAGTGACAGATCCCCTGACCAAGGTTGAAGCTTAGAGTTTGGCAGAAGAGGTTGGGTCATACCGCTTCCTCATTTGCACAGTGGTATGGTATGACATTCTTCACCATGTGAACCATGTTAGCAAGCTCCTGCAGTCTGCCACAATGCAGCTTGATGTGGCAGTTGACCTCCTTACAAAGGCAAACATGTCTCTGACTAGTTATAGAGACACTGGCTTTGCTGCAGCTCAGGCCACTGCTAAAGACATGTGTGAGGAAATGAATGTGGAGGCTGTGCTGAAAGAGAAGAGACTGAGAAGCACAAAAAAACACTTTGCCTATGAAGCCCCAGACGAGCCTATTGCAGATGCCATGAAGAGGCTAGAAACAACATTCTTCAATGTAGTTGTTGACACGACTATTGAATCCTTAAAGGATAGATTTGAAACTCTGGGTGAAGTGAGAGCCAGATTTGGAGTGCTGCTCAACTTCAAAAAACTGGATGGTGTGGAATTGTGCAACCAGTGTGACAAGCTCTGCAGCACATTAAGCACTGGAGATGGAGGTGACATTGATAGAAAGGAGCTGGCTCTGGAAATTACCAATCTGCCAAGCCTGCCTACATGTGAAATTACTGCACTGGAGCTCCTCTCTTTCATCCACAAAAAAACCTGAATGAACTGTATCCCAATCTGTGGATTGCCCTGCGAATGGCCTGCACTCTTCCTGTGACTGTGGCCTCAGCAGAGAGGAGCTTCTCAAAGCTGAAGCTCATCAAAACCTACCTGAGGTCATGCATGGGACAGGATCGCCTCACTGGTCTTGCCATAATCAGCATGAACCATGAGATTGGCAAGCAGCTGTCATATGATGACATTATTGATGACTTTGCTTCTAAAAAAGCAAGGAAGCAGAAGTTTTGAGGAGGAGGAAAAATGTAAAGTAAACATTTTTGAGAAAATGCTGCATCTCTTTCATTTATTGACATAGAGGAGCCTCATTGTTTACCTTTTTTTAATATCATTTTCTGTAAGTTTCAATTGCTTGGGTCAACTTGAGATGTTCAATTTGAATTTAAGAGAGGTTTTCGTTAATTTAGCCTGTTTTCCTCTTAAAGTGTAACAGATGAATGCATCTCCACAGATCATCTTAAAGGCTTTGTAATCCTCCCAATGTAGTTTGACAAAATAGGGCCCCCAAACAGCATCTTGCATAGGGCCCCAAATAGCTAGAAACGGCCCTGCGTGTATGCTACCGAGCTACCTTTCCTAGCGTGTGTGCTACCGTTCCCAGTGTGTATGCTACCGAGCCAAACAAGAAGGCCACCAAGAGCCAGACATGCCAGGGAAAACACTGTTTTTATGCCAGCTACAATGAATGACCGAACGTAGCAGACTACCCGTATAAGATTGCAATTGTAAACATGTTCTTGCTAGCCTAATATGAACCACTTCATAGTAGGTTGGCATATTACACTGAACTAGCAAACGTAGGTTAGCATATTAATCTAGCTGGCAAGCTAACGAACCTAAAACAACTAAGTTTCTCTAATATTTTGTGATTTGCATTTGATTTCGTCCAGCCAGATCAGGAAACTCCTGGCGTATCTGGCGTACAACACATGACGGGATGACCACTCTGATGCCTCGTCCTAAAAAGCCCCAGCACCAGCTTACAAAGCTGCGATAGGCAAGATGCCGAAAACGCCTATAAGGGGAGGAATGGATGATATACCGTGTATATATATGTATATTTACACATGTTCATTTTGTACATTTCTAAAAATAAAGTTTGATGGAAATACTTAATAGCACTGTTAGACATGGGCGGAGCCTCTCTGGTGGTTGACTAATCAGAACAGAGTGGCCGAGCTGACCAATCGGAGCACACTGGGCTCACAGGGAGGGGGGGCAGGAGCTCCAACAAGCCGTTTAGGACAGAGAGTGAATACACATGCTATACACAGATGCTGTATGAGAAACCAATGTGAGTTTGGAACACTGCACAGTATAAATCTATTCTAGTATACCTCAACAATGGAATTATGATCAGTAGAAATGGCCATGACATGGGACCTTTAAACATGTCATGCTACAACATTTTGCAGCTTGCATTACATTACATTGCATTTAGCTGACGCTTTTATCCAAAGCGACTTACAATAAGTACATTCGACCAGGAAGACACAACCTTGAAGAAAACAGAATCATATAAGTACATCAGGTTTCATAGAGCCAAACATTTCAAGTGCTACTCAACTGGCTTTAGGTAAGCCAGTCCTTTATTAGTATATAAGTGCTTTGTTAGCAGTTCTTTGTTAGTAATTCTTGCTTGCAACACAAGGAAAGGTTTTCCTTTTCAATAACTTATCAAGTGTTCATGTACATGTTAATACAACCAACACAATGTACGGTGAATATTCCTGTATCTTTTATATCGCAAAATATATTGCAGAAATTATTTTTTGCTATGTCAGTTTTTCAAGATGGTGCAGCGCAAGTAGGAAGTGGCTCAACGGCCATAACAACATTAAAGTTGCTTGGCTGAAAATAGTTAACTAAAACATTAATCTATAATAAGAATAATCATAAATTCAGGTCAGACCCTGTTGTACTGATCGACATAGGGCTGTGCAAATTACATTATACTGAATTGACCATATGATCTAGTGCAACACAAATAATCTAATCTGTTTTTAACAAGCATTTATTAGCAATCATCCTTTTCTGTAACTTTTGAGAATACCATTATTTGAATAACAGCTTTTGTTTGAGAATGTCTGCTAAGTTATTAACACTGCCTGCCATCCCAAGCTTCTTTGGGGGTTCAAAGTCATGATCAAACATCCTGTTAACCCCACTGTTTCTCTGCTGAGACCACTGTCCTGATCAACTGTAATGTTAAAGGACTTACTCTGGGTGAAATATATCACTGTAGTAATCATACATGTGTGGCCACCAAAACTCATCAAATCCCATTAACAGCAGCAGCAGAACTTGCGTGCTGCGGAGCAACGTGAAGCCAGACATTTTGTTTCAGCTTCTTCTCATTCTACACTGTGCAGCGGTCATATAACCACATTTAAAGGTGGGGTAGGTCATTTAGGAGAAACCAGCTCGAGTGCACTAGGATTTGAAAATACACAGCCAGAACAAATCTGCCTCTTCCTCACAGAGCCCACAGATAACTAAAAATGGAAAGAAACAGACTAAGAAATGACGTAAGCTCAATGATCAAAACTGCCAAAAAGAATTTCATCAATGTCAAAACTGAGGGAAACAAAAATAAACCCCGTGAACTTTGGAAATTACTCAATAACCGTTAGTAAAAAACTCAAAACGAGATTTTCTAACTTAAACATAAAGACAGATAACAGGCTCATCACAGACAAACTGGATGTGGCCAAGTACTTGAACATTTCTTTCACAAACATAGCCACAACTCTTGTAAATAAATTACCCTCTCACTCAGGGCTTTTTGGAGTAGATCACATCATGACCTACTACAAAAACCTAGGGGTACGCAAAGATGATTTCAGTCTAGCAAGGGTAACAACAGCAGAGCGCCCTCCAACCTAACAAGGCCACTGGCCACGACAATATCCCCTCCAAATTCCTCAGAGACTCAGCAACCACCATCTCACCAGTCATAGCTCACATAATTAACCTCTCCATAAAACAGGGAAAAGTACCCAAAGACTTCAAAATTGCAAGAGTAACCCCCCTGCACAAAAAGGGCAGCAAATTGGACCCAGGCAACTACCGCCCTGTTTCTATACTTACCTCCATCTCGAAAGTCATGGAAAAAATAGTATATGAACAGGTCGAAAAGTACCTCGCGGAAAAGAAACTAATCTATGAATTTCAATCTGGCTTTAGAACATCCCACTCCACTGACACATGCCTTCTTTATTTGAGCGACCACATCAAACAAGAGGTGGACGAGGGCAAGTACTGCGGCATGGTGATGCTGGACCTACAAAAGGCTTTCGACACTGTCAATCACCCCATTCTGATTGACAAGCTAAAAGCAATTGGTTTTGATAAACTATCGGTGAGCTGGATGCAATCCTACCTGGAGGGGAGAGAACAGATGGTGGAGGTAAACGGTACTCTGTCCCCCCCCTCCCAGTGAGCTGTGGTGTTCCACAAGGAAGCATATTAGGTCCGTTACTGTTCCTAATTTATGTAAATGACATGTCATCAGCATGTGACTGCAACTTGTTCCTGTTCGCGGACGACTCAGCCCTGCTGGTCTCTGACAGGAACAGGTTGCAGGTTGAAAAAACCCTCAGCTCCGAGCTCGGCAGAATCTGCACCTGGCTCGCCGATAATAAATTATCATTACACCTGGGTAAAACAGAGTCCATTCTCTTCGGTTCGAAACATAATCTCAGCAAATCCGACGACTTCTCAGTTGCAGTGGGCGACATTATTGTCACAAGTAAGAAGGAAATTACATACCTAGGATCTATTCTTGAGGCAAACCTCTCCTGTGACAAAATGGCATCCAATGTAATAAAAAAAGTCAATCAAAGAACTAGATTCCTATACCGGATCTCCTCTCTGGTAAACAAAAACACCCTGAAAACTCTGGCAGGAGCACTCATTCAAGGGTACTATGACTATGCTTGCACGTCATGGTACCATAGCACCTCCAAGGCGCTAAAAATAAAACTTCAAACATCGCAAAATAAACTGGTCAGACTACTGCTTGACCTTTCATCTAGAACCCACCTCACCTCTGCCCACTTTGACAACCTAGGATGGCTTAGAGTAGACGACAGAGTACAGCTACTTGCAATGGGCCTGGTCTACAAGATCCACTACACCTCTATGGTACCCATGTACATGTCAAAATTCTTCCCAAAGGTCAAATACCATTTGGAATTTCATGGAATACCATGATCATAACACCAGAGGGAGCTCCACAAATCATGTGAAACCCAGATTTGGCACAAAAAAGGGGGAATACACGTTTCGTAATTATGCCACATCAAGGTGGAACGCTCTTCCCACAACTGTAAAGGAAAGTAAAACTATACTTACCTTCAAAACCTCTCTTAAAGAGCACCTTCGGGGGAGAGCATTGCAAAACTGGCCCCGGTAATGGTACAAATCTCAACCTGTCGTTCAATGGACAGCTTCCCCCCCCCCCCATCTATGTATATACTCGCATTTTAGACTCTGTTACTAACTGTATATCTGTAGACTTGGTATGTCTTAAATGTCCGGTTAGGATGTATTAGAACGAAATCTAAAATGAAAATTGTAAACAAGCAATCTGTATGTAAATTGTAAATAAGCCATCTGTATGTCAAATATGTCTTATATGTCTTAAATGACATGATGAATTGGAAATGGGGGACCCTGATGTAAACAAGACGAAAGTCTTTCTCTGGTCTGCATCCCCTTAACAATTGTATGTTTTGAGCTGTACTGTACCCAATATACAAGCTGTTAATAAACTTTTCAATCAATCAATCAATCAATCAATCAGCCCCTCCTCCAACCCACACGAACGCGCACATGACCAATGAGGGCACGAGATCAGTTTGTGCACAGATGGAAGGCTGACAGGCAGGTAGGCCATCCAGTTACTTTAGCCGGGCCGGCTCAGATGATTGGTCGTGCTTCCAGAGATGACATTTTTTTATGGATTTGTTGTCAAAGCACTTCAGATATTCATTGCTATCGGGATGTTAAGAGCATTCCATGGAATATAACAACAAGTGTATCTCGAGCCGGTTTCTCAAACTTACCTACCCCAACTTTAAGCCAGAGGAAATATCAATTGAAGATTTTCTTTGCAATAATCAGAGTGGTACACTGCTTTTTACTGCATTTCGCCATTGAATGTGTGACTGTACTACATTTTGATGTTGTTGCTATGACAATAGCAGCAGTGGGGCAGTAATATGACGAATGAGTGAAAAAAAAACAGAGGAGGAGTCAGACAGAAAAACAAGCAGGAAAAAACAGAGTGTGTGTGTGTGTCTTTGAACTCTTATCTCCCGTCCGTGTGCCAGATGGTTCTGTGCACTGTGCTATTACATAATCAAAACAGTGAATCACATTTCCAAGCACACTGTGGGGGAAACACAGAGAAACACACAAACAGTCTAACACTGAAAGCCTGCAATGTGAAAACATTTCTGAACCAAATCAGCCAGGGACACACACACAATCCTGGAGCTCCAACACACTTCAGTTCACACACACACACACACACACACACACAGCATCATCTCACATGTGGTGTGCTTGAGGAGAAGTGTGACACACTCATGACAACAGAAACACCACAGGAACCACACATGCACCACACCAAAGCGTGTGTGTGTGACAGCAGACTCAGCAGCACAATGGTGACACACACACACACACACAACAAAGAGGGACCTCTCTCTGAATAGCACTATGAGACATGTCGCTGCTATTTCACAATATGCAGCCCCTCATTAAGGACACTTATTCTTTGTTATTACCTGAATCCATATTCATTACTTACAAACAACATAATAGAAATACTTTCATGTTCACTATCTGGCCCCGAAAGTCAACATATTTACATATACAGTCCACTACCAGTTATACATCTAGAAAACTAGGCTGTCTGAAAACTTTAGTTGGCTTTCAAATTGGGGACAATATCTCCTTTATTATGGTGTGTTAGATCAGTGGGAGTCACTGCCGGGAAACTATTCATTGAACTGCATTCTGCAGCATTTCTGTACATAGAACATCACATTACATGTATTTTCACTTTGCTGCAGTTTTTTTACTTATTTTTTTTACAGACAAATAAAAAGACATACTTGGAGATGTTCACATAACTGACCTGTTTACTTTTAGCTATGGTTTCATTCATAGCAACTTG